AGTCTCTGGCGCTGTTAATAACTTCTGTTGACGAGGGAGTCAGAACAGCAGAAATGAGGTAGACGTCCCCCTGAGCTCGGAGGAGCGGGATTTTTCATGGGCTGTGAGCAAGGAGAAGCACATGTCTTTGGTAATAACTTTCTGAGCGGCTCCATCAGAACGGCCACCATGAGTTTATCTTTTTCTATTCTCTCCAAAAGCTTTGTCAGCTTTGAATAATCTGCTGTGGCTACAGACTGCCAGAATGCCACACGGCCACTTGCATCTCCAACATGAAGTCCAACTCCCCGAGCAGTTTTATCATAATGATGAAGTTTCTTAACTTAAATCAAGGATGTCTCTGGAGTTCCCTACGACAATGCGAACTTCAGATAAACAATGAATGATGAATAGGCAAATTACTGAAATCTCCCTTCAGCTGAGGCCATATGTGGCTAGTTGATAAGAGGAGGTACGCATCCTCTCATCTGGCAAATGTTACAGAAAATGGGATGGTTTGAAGCAGAGACGGTTCTGTGTAATCAGCCACTGGCTAATGAGCAATTTTCTTTTATATATGATCTTTCCCTTTCTCTGTTTGCTGTCCGGGATGTTGGAAGCAGGGAGAGAGCCAGCAGCCCGACCAACGTGCAAGCAAATGTTTCGCTCTGGTATAAATCACTGCCCTGTGCCCCCACCGCAGGTCCCGGTCCGAGACACAGCAGCAGCAGGAGATGGCTAAGGGCTGTGTGATGGTGCTGTACGTGTCTCCCGAAGGCAAGGAAATCTTTCCTGAGAGACCCATCCAAACCAGGGGAAGAGACCATCTGTAAATCTACCAGCAGCTCACTCAAAGCTTCGTGTGTGCAACAGCAAAGGGGGACAGACCATGGCCACAGGACCAGGGGACAGACACCTTAAACTATGGCTGCAGGACCAGAGGACAGACACCTTAAACCATGGCTGCAGGACCAGGGGACAGACACCTTAAACTATGGCTGCAGGACCAGGGGACAGACACCTTAAACCATGGCTGCAGGACCAGGGGACAGACACCTTAAACTATGGCTGCAGGACCAGAGGACAGACACCTTAAACCATGGCTGCAGGACCAGAGGACAGACACCTTAAACCATGGCTGCAGGACCAGGGGACAGACACCTTGGGCCGTGGCTGAGGACCAAGGAACAGACACCTTGGACTGTGGATGCGGCACCCCAGAGAGGCTGTAAGCCAGCACTCCGGGTGTATTTTGGGGCTGGAGCACCTAAAAGAGCAAAGCAAGAGGCGTTTTTCCTCCTGCGAGACCCCCCAGCAGCATCCAAGGAGAAGGGCAAAAGCTGGAGGGGGAGGACACAGCGAGGTCCGCTGGGTGCTGTGGCTCCATGTCACTCCCCCCTGCTCCGTCCGGGAGCGGGTGCCACCGCTGCCACCACGTCACCCTGCAGCGAGAGCCACGAGGCACCGTGTCCCGCAGTAAACGATATGATTTACTTACTGCCTATGGAATTGCCCAATTAATTCACTATCCACATTAATATTATGGCTCATTTTTAACTTTACTGTCTCCATCGTTCCAATTTAGTGCTGCTCAGAGATGCTGCCACTGACCTTAATGGGTTTTTCATTATAACAAAGAGCATCATATTAATCACAATGGGTTTTCGGCTGGAGGTTGCTGCCTGAGCCCCACTGCCTTGGGGAGCTGCTTTTTAGTAGTTCTGGGACCTATTTTATTTCTGCCGGGCTTCTCGCCCCCGCTCACACCGTGTATGAACCTTTGTGCTGTCCAGGAGGAATTTCTTGGTATAACATTTCCAGGCACTGAGATTTTATGCAGCAGTCAAGCTACGCCGTGAATATGATAGATTTTTCTGGGCAAATTGGACCAAGAAGTAGAAAACAGAAAGGATGCACCAGTCGTAGCCAATGAGCCTCTTATTGTCCTGTATAAAAATCAAATGCCTTTTAATCATTTCAAATGTTCTTCTGGGTATCAATTAGTCACACATTAATATCACTATTGCTTCTCTTCCTCAGTTCACGTCAGATTAAATTCTCCCCTGTCATATAGGCTCGCGCTCATTAGCTTCAAGGAAAATTAGTGATTGTTCCTTCTTCATTGGCACTGATTAGAACTGTTTTTTATACAGAGAACCTGATTGTCATCTTAAAGACATTGAGGGTTTTTTCCCCAAAAATTATTGTCTTTTCATGGAAAATCCATTTTTTTTCTTTCTCTGAAACCCTGAATGCTGAGCCTGAGCACTGGGGAATGGGGAAAAAAAAAAACCATTCCTGACCAGCGTCATCCTGAGGTTTCTGTCCCTCTCTGCATCCCGAGTATCTGTCTCCCTGTCGGGATCCAGCGGCTGTCGCACAGTCCACAGCTGCTGAGGGGAAGGACAATTTGTGTCGCACAGGGTTTTGCTGCCGTCAAACCCCCCCGGTTCAAGACCGGATATTTATAACGCTCTCCACAGAGAGCGGCGGTGTGGAGGGGTCCCATCCTGCTCCCTGCCCAGCACAGGGGCCGGAGAGCACAAGGCTGAGCTGGCTCCGGGGCTGCATGTGCATGCGTGTGTGCGTGCATGTGTACATAGATATGCGTGCATGTGTGCGTGCATGCTCACGCCTATTGCTCCCATCCCTCCCGGCCAGCAGTGCCCAATTTTGCAGGCTGCAGCAAAATGAGGTCTCCAGCCCCACGACGGGACACCCC